GGTATGCTTTTGGTCTATTATGTGCTTGTTTCTTTAATCCAAAGGACGAGAAATCTATGTTAACTTTATTATTTATAGTGTTGGCTTCCTGTTTGGTTATAGTTTTCCTACCTTAGCTTTTACTTTATGCTTTAGGATAGTCTCTTCATATCCTACAGTTCTTCTTTAATTTTCAAAACCTTCTCCCTTTTTCAAAGGATTCTTGTTTTTTCTAAACTCGAACCACTTTCATAATAAACTTGGACTTATGTCCATGTTTATTTTCAATATTATTTTCTTAATCAAATCATCAATCAATCTTAATCAAGATGTGACTTCTTTCTTCAATACTTAAAAAATATAAAACAAATTCAAATCATTTTTCCGCTTTGACTTTTCACTTTAAAACCTTTTCTTTTAACATTAACCAACACACAAACTTTCAAACTTTTTTACCCGAACTACATGGGTTTTTATTTTAACATTGCACATTGTTGGTATGTAGGCCCATAGCTCATTGGAAGCCTTGTCAAATCAAAAATTGTAAAAACCATTTCCTTTCTCATCTCTACGATCTCATTTTTGTAAATATTTCTTTTTAGTCAAATAAACAGATTTTCAAAGAGGTTCCTGCAGAGTACCGTAGATGTTTAGGGTGCTAATATCTTCCATTTGTGTGACCAACCTCCTTACCTTGATCTCTATTTAATTTTTGGTTTTATTCGTTCTTTTCCCATTCCTTTGGAATAATAAAGTGCGATGACAACTTTCACTTTGTGAGTTAAGTCAATCAATGACTTAGTCTCAACCTTTTACCGCTACAATGCCATTTTTTATTTATAAAAAAATAACTTGTTCCTTCGGTTATTTTAAAAACCAATGTGATATACCATTCCGCACATGCTTCGAATATCAGCTACTACACTTTGTGTTTTTATTTGTTTATAAGTGTAAAATAAATTATCTAACCCTTCAATTTCTTTGATAAACCGATGGATAAAATAATTAGATTTTACTATAAAAACACTCGTTGAAGAAATTTCACCCTAATGCTATCTTATTTGTAGTTGTCCCACCATCGAATGCATCATTTTTTTGGGATGGATTGCAAAACTTAAAATGATGTTCTTCTACATTTAACAAAACATTTTTTCAGATTTTACAATCCATCTCAAACAATAGTGTTTCTGTTGTTGTTGTTGATGGTTTTGAAAAACTATGATTTATTCCTAAAATTCTTTACTGATGGATTGCTAGTGCAGAAAAAACATTTTCCAATTTTTGGAACAAACACCTTATTAGAAGTAAGATGCATTCAACGCATGCACATTGTATATGCTAGTGAAGGTAGTGATAATAATAACATCAACAATCAATCTTGGATGCAAAGTTCTGACATTCAAGCATCAACACCTTATGATAGATTACAAGTACAGAAAAATCATTGAAGAGATTTGTTGAAAACAATTTATTTTAATATTATGTGTAGACAATGTAATATTAAAAAAAAAATAATAATAACTATCGTGTCGATTTTATAACCTTAACCGAGGTGATAGTTAAAAAAATAATAAATAATAATAATGTTACCTTGGTTTTATAAATAAACTGAGGGTTATAAGAGGCAGGTTTTACTATAAAAGAAATTGTTAGGTTTTACCCTAATCCATGCTAATATGAAGCCACCCCAATTTGCATCATTATTCACGATAGATTGCAAGACAGAAAAAATATTCAATCTTCTTCTATCTAGAACAAAATACTTTTTCTGCCCTTGTAATATATCTCACAAAATGGTATTGCATTTTTTTAGAGAAATGTTGTTGTATATTTTTGCTTATTTGATAGATTGCATGTGAAAAAAATCATTCTTTCTTTAACTTAAACAAAGAACGAACCTCAAACATTACAAGTTTAAACAAAGAAGGGAGCTTAACTTTTCAGAAGATGGATATTAGCGAAAAATAAAAATTCTTATGGGAAAATAGATCTCTAGCATCTTGTATGAGTCTTGAACATGCTGTATTTTTAATATTCTGGGTAAATATTCTTGATATTCTGCAAAACTCTTTGTTGCATACAATGTATTTTTAACATTCTGGATAAACAATGTACCATTTTTGCATAAAAAAATTAATCTAACCCCTCGATTTTTTTCCAAAACCGAGAGGATAGTTAGGTGTTATTTTTCACTATTTTCAACGACTTTAAACAAATCTTGACCGTCTATTTAAATGTTATCAACACTCAAGAATTTTCCATTTGTGATCCGCGTGAAACCTAAGGGACATCCATTATATAAGTTCTCTAATGATATTGGGAATATAACCTAAATGAAATATATGAAGCGATTGAAACCTAAGTATGCTTGTAAAAGTTCTCTACGATGGATTGCAAGAGCAGAAAATCATTTGGGTTCAAGGTTTGTTTTATTAATTTTTTTGTACCGAAATTATTTTTTATTACTGATATTAATTATCTTACCTTTTTTTTCACCAGAAACAAATGCATACAAGATCCGTAGAGAATATTCTTGAACCCAACATTTGATCTTCACATATATTCAATAATTCGAAGATCTAAAGTCTACATCTTCAGATCATTTTATTTTTATCTAGATCCCTAGAAAGTTTGATTTTTATTTTAATTTTAATATGCTGGATAAACAAAGTAATATTCTGGATAAACAATGTAATAAATTTTGAAAAATAAATAAATAATCATACCCCTCAATTATTTTGATAAACTAAGATAAAATATATGTTAAATAATAAAAGTTGTTGCTATTGGAGTTTGAACACATGCGATGATCAAATTTTATCTTGGTATTTTAAACACTGATGTGATACATCTTTACTTTTTATGATGACCTTATTCACCTCGTATCTAGTGCCGAGATAAAATGCATTTCACGTCTGACGTTACAAGCGTTATTTGTAGTAGTGTAAGGTGGTATGTAGGGATATCAAATAAATTTTGTCTAAGGCTTAATGTGGTCCCTCATGATACAAGTTTAAGCATATTTAAAAGATAGATCACCATTTGCAAATTTTTCCCCAATGACTTTATCGGCAGTAGTATTATCAAATGACATGTTAATCTTTAAAATATCTTCAAGAATTTGAGGAGTCAAAAATAGATAATTCATGAAGAATGTTCCAATTGATGTCTTGGATTAATGAATTAACCTTACGAGTTTGTATAAATTCAATATCTTTTGGTAATACTAGGTGTAAATCTTTAATTTTGTATCTTACAATTGTCGGTCTATAAATTAATGTTCTTCCCATTACCAACCTATCATCTACTATGCACCTCTAGGCTTGAAAAGGAATTCTCAATGCTAGACTATATTGAAGAAGAAATATGATGCATGATTTGTGTTTTGGGCTTAAGATATCTACCATTAAGCATACAAGACTATTGATTATTGATAGACAACAACTTCCAACCACTACAAAAAATGCACTAGATTGTGGCGATTATTTTTAGGAGGTTTTGAAAGAGCCCTTCAAATTAGAATATGAAGAGACATTCTATGTTTAATGGGAAAACTTTTAAACTATTCAATGGAGGTTTTAAACCCCCGTAATTAGATGAAACTTTGCACTCTATTTTAATTGATATATTACATATTTTTGGCGCTAATTATATATATTATATATGAAATTACTAATGAATAAGAATTAGAATAGTCATCAAAGGTTTTTTATTCTGGGGAAAGCTCCAAACCTATTGTTGCTTCTCAAGAGACAACCACCATATTGGTTCATTGTTTTTATATCTCTCAGATCAAGACTTCATTTTAACAAAGGTCAACCAATAGCCTACTAAGGTGTAATAATTAACTTTCTAAGTTCTACCTATCTACACAAAATTTTTATTGCAAGAATCTAGTTTGTTTCGAAGATAGATTGATCATTCTTAAATCATAAGACTATGTAAAAGCATACCTTATATGATTGACTAGACCAATTGAACCATATCCATCATAGAAAGAATGTATCTCTTCTAAGTAACTAGCTTGACCAATACTTTATCTGTTATAATTTAAAGATGATGATCAAATTTACAATAAGTCTTAATCTAAATACTTTTTTCATCAAACATATATATCTAAGTTAAAGTTGAGATTTGTAACATTCTCTTTTTTATATGTTTTATGTTTTATTTTAATAAATGCAAGTTAGTATTGAATATAAAAGGAAAAACGAAAAAATGATAGGGGGCGTAAAACCTAACTCATTGAACAATTAGTAAAGATGATAGTTGGACATGTCCAACCTATCGCTCAACAAAATTTAAAAATCACAAATAAGAAGGGAACTCCACCAAATATCATAATAATAAAATAAAAAACTTGCATTTGTTATTACATCAGCACGTGTATTTTTCTCTATAAAAATGTGACATATCGTAAATCTAAAAAAACGTATAATAGATAAAGTATTTTCTATTTAAGTAAAAAATTCTAAGGGGCAATATTTACATTAACAAATACGTACAATTGATTAATATTGAGTCACTTTCATGCTAACAATTTCTTCAATTTCTAATTTTAACATATTCGACAACAAACATAATTTCATGCATATTCAGATCGGAAGAAAGTAAAAACTTCATTCTTACCTGAGAAAATCCCAAAGATATTCCTAAGTTATTTATATAAAGTTACTCATTATTGACTCAATCTAGATTAATAAATTTATGTCAAACTTTTATTCAGAATTAATTTTATAAAATCAATTTACTCGAAAACAGTATTTTTACCACAAAACAAAATTTCGAACTAAAATTATTTGATGCGTAATATATGAAAAAATCCATATTTATTTTATTTATAATAAAATAAAACAATTGCCCATGCAAGAGTTTCTTTAGAAGATTAAGACATATCTTTACTCTGTTGAGCCTCATAACCTAACAAGAAAAATACAACTAAACAATACTTCAAACATGCATGTTATTCATATGAAGATATTAATCACCATAGTTGCACTTGCTAGCCACATTCAATCAATTCAAAGTCCTTCAAGAAACAAAGTGCTAAAGAGATCCATTACATCTTTATTAAGAACAACTCCAACTTCAATTCCACCATTGCCATCTTTGCTCTCTGCCAAACCAATTGTTAAACCTCTATCGATCGACACTATCTCCACCTTTTCCGGCCTTCCCCAACCAAAATCAGTCTCATAAACACCAAATCTATTAGACCCTGCCACTCCCATAACTTCATATCCTTCACTTGTCAAAGAAATAAACTTATTAATGCAATCTTTAGCTCCTTCAAGAACACCCTTTTCATCTATCATCATAATTTTCTCATGAATACACTTAGCAACTAAAAGAACACCATCTTCTTTGATAAAATCCAATGGTTGAGTATCCGGGAATTGCACCCAAACACAATTGCCAAAATAGTTATTTGGTATTGGTGGTTCTAGCCTTGCTCTACAATCTACCGAGAAAAGAAAAGAAAATTTCTCTTTCTCCTTATCAACTCCATTCATAGCTTTTGCAATAGTAACATGCAAATAAGCACAGGTGATAACAAAAGACGATAACATTTGAGGTTTTGATTCATTTGGATAGAATATTTCCCATTTGGATAACACCTTTTGCTTTATTTTATCCAAATCTTCACGCGTGAGCTTGAACGTAGCACGGACATAGTCTTTCAGTTTTGGTTCAAAAGGGAGAATCTCCAAATTGTTTGCTTTTTCATTTGGGAACTTCTGTGTCATGACGTGAATCCAGTAATTTGTGAAGTTAACAGAAAGTTCATTTGGATCTTTGATGATTTCCCTATTGAATAAAGGCTCTAACTTTGGCAGCAAAGTTGGTGATTCTTCTAGGGTTTCAATGGTTTTGTTGCATAGATAAGCCCATGCTTTGATAAACATGGTTGTAGATTTTCCATCAAGAACTGCATGGTGTGTGCTTATACCAATGGAAAAACCACTTTTTGGAAAAAGGGTTATCTGGATTGAGATAATAGAAGCAAAAGAATCGGTTGATTCTAAAAGCGGTATTAAAGAACGAGAGAACGAAGCATCCTGTGGTGAATTTTCAATGACATGATTGAAATCTAAATCAGATTCTCCAATGAGAAATGAAACTCCCTTATCATCTTCATTGGGATTGAATTGGATGAATGGCTTTGAAGAATCATTAGGCCAAACGATTTTACCGGCTAAAGGGATAAAATGTTGGAGGGTTAAAGAGAGCGAAGATTTGAGATTTGGAACAATTTCTTGAAAGAAAAAAGAGGGGTGTGATTGTGAATTTGGGAGGGTGTAGAAGAAAACACGTTCTACGGGATGGAATTTTAACCAAAATATGTCAAAGAAAGTGAGAGGGGTTATTGTTGTTTGGGTTGATGATGATGATTGAGGAACAACTTTGATTTGTTCATGGATTTTAAGGTTGTTGGAATCCATGTGAAAGTGAGATAGATGAAGAGTTATTGAAACTTTCAATAGGTTTTACTTGGCTATGATTAGAGAGAAGCATTTTTATAATGGCAAAAATGAGAGTGAAACTTGTGGAAGAGAAATAGAAAGAGTTCAAAGTAGGGAAAAAAATGAATAATTATTATTATTAGGGGAAAACGAATAATTTTTATAAGGAATAAAAACTTAATTATTAGCTCCTACCATATTTTGTTACTTTTTTTTTTCTTATAAGGAAAAAGTGATCAATACATCGTATCATAAAATGATGTAATATGTCGGTTATGTTAATTACACTTAAAATGATGTAATATTTAAATGAAATCAAGTAACAGTAGCACCAATGGTGTAGTGTAACATATACTCCATCAAGTAACATTTAGGTGAAATATTTTATTTTAATTTTATATTAAGTTTGAAGTGATATAAAAAATATTAATTATATTTTTATATTAAGGTTCATGAATGAATTGAATGATAATGATGGAGTTGGGAAATTGAAAGAATTTGATTGAAGTAAATGTAGAGAAGTGAAGTAAATGCGTTCAGGTTTTCGCGGATGAGAGTTTTTTTTCTGTGTTTATATTCCTTATACTTTGAATGTGTTATTTTTATTTTATTTGTTTTTCCTTCCTACTATAATCATAGTCATTTTCTTTAAATAAATGTTGATTAATCGTTTGTTGGATGAAATCAAAATTTCATATTTCCTAATATATTGAATTAGTTATAGAAATATAACATAAGATTTAATTATAATTGAATGAAATAAGCAATAGTTAAACAACATAATTATTAAAATATTTGTTTTTTACGCAATAGTTAGATATTTATAATGTAATTGAATAAAATGATTATTTTAAATAAATAGAGAATCATTACAATCAACTTTTATTTTAATTTGGTTTAATTTCTTATCTAAGCATGTATACGTGTGAACGCACATGTAACACATCAATTCATTGTGAACGCTCGTGTGTTCACGTTAAAAATCGAGCAAATCTAATGTGTAAAAATAAATATTATTTAAAATAATGTGTAAATCTAAACACCAGATAAATGTGTTGTTTTTTAGTCATTTATATTATTAATATTTTTATTTTGAAATTAATTTTATTTTAAAATATAATATTTTTTAAGATGAAATATGAAAAATTAAAATATATATTATTGATGTAAAACTTTTTTTTCTTTTAAAAACATGTATTTAAAAAAAATAATAATAAACACTTTTAGTAAATACAATTTTGTTTTTCTTATTTATATTTTGAAAACAAAAGCGTGCATACCGCACCAATAACAATGTGATCAAACGACTACAGATATAATACTGATATTAAAATGTTGATTTAAATATTGAATAATAGTGAGAATAATTATGATAAAATAATTTTATTTTTATTTTAAGAATATGATTTCTTTTTAAAAAATAATTTTTTTTTATAAAACAATTTTGTTTTTCTTATTTATATTTTTATTATATTTTAAAAATATAATCGTACATATCACTTCAATACTTGTGCGAATGCACGAGTATCCCACTAGTTAGTATACAAAAACAAATATAAGGCGTTTGCATTTATTTTATTTTTATTTTTCAAGAAAAATGACATTGTTGCTATTTAATTAAAATTATTTATAATATTATTTCTAATTTCTACAAAATCAAATATTTTTATAAGTTAATTTAGTTTATAAAGTAACTAGTTATTTTGGTCTATAAAGATGTATTTTGTTGGTATTTTACTCTTTATAAAGGCTTATTTTCTAACATATTTTGATTCTTTTCTATTACTTAATTTTATTTAGAAAACAATAAGCCAATTTAGTTACTATTTATTTGAGTTATTTTGAAATTTTAATAAAAGAAGAAATTTTATATTTTTAAATGGAATATAGAATGTCTTTTAAGGTAAATATTTTAATAAAAAGAAATAATGAATCAACTTACACAAAAAGAAAAGTCATGTTTAGCTAAGAGAATTTGTCACATGAAATAACTCTCACTAAAAATATACATTGATTAGGGAGAAATCCCTTGCAAAGCATAAAATATAAAATAAAATTAAAAAAATTATATTGCTTAGGGATGCCCTAGCAAATATTAAGAAGGGATTTTCAAATTTTGAATTTGCACATTACGAGAGGTAACCCAACGCACAGTTAAAATGACGCTAATAATATATATATTTTTCAGAGGCAACCCCTGTCCAAATATATTCTTCTGTCATTTGTCAAGTAAACGCAGAAAGCGTGTTAGTGAGTGTATAATTTGTAAAGGACTGTCCTAGGGAGCCCCTGGTAAACTGTTGTGAAGTAATGTCTTGTCGCTACTTCCCCATGTTATTGCATTAATTGTGTTGGTTGAACATCATGAATGTAATTTTCTAAGGGTTGTCTCTAGCTGAAAGTGACCATTCAGTTTGTCAGGAGTTGCCTCAAGCTGAATGTGACCATGCAATTTATCAGGGACTGTCTCAAGTTGAAAATGACCATAATTTGTCAAGGACAAACTCTTCATTTTTTCCACCAAGTTCTTCATTATTTAGATTCATTTTCTTCCTCCTCTAAACTTTCATTCATAAATCAAACCTTATATTTTCCTCATATTTCTTCTTCCTCTCAAACCTTTAATCTTTAAAAGGTAATTTTTAATTTCATTTTTTTTCAGTTTAATTTTTAATTTCCATTCTAAATTAGAATTTTATTGATACTTTTTTATTTTCATTTTCTATTTTTACAAACCATTTTCATCATATATAGGTATCAAAATTCACAAAGAGATTCAAAGCTAATGTGTGTAGTAATATTTATTCATTTAAGGTACATTTTTCTTCTCTATTTTTTTTAAATGGTAGTCATATTTGTTAATATTTATTGATGTTTGTACTGATATTATTTGATATTTTATATTTGTTATTGATGTTTGAAGTAATATTACTTCTTTGATTGAGTTAAGTAAAAATAGAGTTTAGTAGTAAACATTATATTATGATATATTATTTTTGAAATTAATATAAAAAAAAGTTAATTATATTTTTTATTCGAAAATAATATAATTGTAAAAATAATAAAAAAATAATATAATTTAAAAAATTGATATAATTAAAAAACAGTATAAACATATATAGAATTTTTTTATTAATAACCATGTATTAAAATAATATTTCGCAAATAACCGGGTTTCGGAAAAAATTACGCAAATAACCATGTTTCAGATGACTCCCCAAAGGAGGAGCCATCTGAAATGGCGCATGCACCTAGCATTTTGCCCTAGGCGCCATCTCACTTGGAGCCTCCCTTGGCTTTTAGCCAACTGAGATGGCGCATGCTCCTTAAAAGTGAGAGGATGCGCCATCTCACTTGGCTCCTAGGGCAAAACTAGGGCAAAATGCTGTTTTATAAATAATTTGTCCGTTTCTCCGAAATTTCTCACACTTTCTCGCACAGTATTTTTATTTTGTACTCTGTTATTTGCATCATGACGTCGCCTATGATTTTTAGCAGAGATGGTTACGTTATCTTCTCCGCCACGAAACCTGCGATGAAAATGAAATTCTGGCACATTCACTCCATGGAGCGTCTGAAGCGGGAGTTGATGCGATGGCTAGATGGAGACATTGTGGAGGGGGAAAAATTCGAAGGATCCAGCAAAAACGAACAACAACCTCACATGCGACAGGAAGACCTAATGTGTGGTTGGAGGAAGTCAAAACAGACAGCGATGTAATGTTGATGATGCATGGGTCAGATGAAATTGTGTTAACAGTTGTAATTTCCTAGATGGAATATCGTTAATTATTCTTGTACGCGTTTTATTAATTGTAGCAAAATCTGTTAACGGAAAACCCAAATGTTTACAACACAATTAAGGAAAGATTTTATGTATTACAATTTTTATGTGGTCGAGGCAGACGCCCGATTCGGATAGTTTTTGTGATTGTGTCCGACCTGACGGCATAAACCACACTTTCTTTCCAACCTGTCAAGATCGGTCATTTCTGTTGTGATGCTCTTACTTTTGGGACGACCCTTCTTGTTCCTTCGTATTTGGTCATTGTGCCACACTATTTCGCCATCGTATTCAGGCCAATAATCTGGTTTTGCTACCAAAGGAAAGTTGTTGTTGTAAACGTTGAGCAACGTTTCAGATTTGTAAATGTTCGACAGAAGTTGCAGCGCGTCTTGATGGGTATGAGCACAAGCGGCAATGACATGAGAGCAAGGCATACGAAATGCTTGAAACCTGCCACAATCGCACCATTGAGAAGGTAGCATGACCATATATTCTTGTCTTGGCAGGCCTTCATTGTGGTCGATTGTCTCTTTCACAATGAAGTTGTGGCTGTGTCGGTCAAACCGTATAACCATGTGAATGTTGGCTTTATCACTTTCAGCCTTAATGTATTTCATGCAACTTTCACTCCATAGTTGTCCAGATTGCAACACCGCATTCCATATTTCACCTCTTTTGGCAAATAACGCAGCCATCCTAAAATACGTAGATTTTACCAAGGCAGTGATTGGGAGGTTTCGTATGCCTTTGAATAACCCATTCATTGATTCAATAAGATTCGTTGTCATATGCCCCCATCTTTGGCCATTGTCGTATGACCTAGTCCATTTTTCCACCAGAATATTGTTGATCCACCTACCGGCTTCCGGATTAGACAAATGGATCTCGTTGCGGTAATATTTGAATGTGGGTTGTGTCAATGCATATCCCGCATTCATACCATCTTGGGCGTATGCTGGCACTATTTCCAGAACGTAAACACTACCTGGAGAATACGTCTTGAGTGCATTCAGGTAGCGGGGAAGTTCTTGGTATGACTCCTCCCAGTTTCTGTACACCCTTTCAATCGCCTTAGTCTTTGCTAACCACGCCTTACGGTAAGACGGAGTGTAGTTAAAAACCGTGGTGATGTGGGAGATGATTGTTTTCACCTTCAAAGATGGGTCGTTGCTGACCAGGGGTAGGATTTCTT